ATAACATTTGATTCTGGTGCTGAACTACGATCAGGATGGCCAAAATTTGTAGGGCTACAACTGGTGGGCCTCATGTTATGATTTTTAATTAAAAGCTCATTATTCTGCTCAGCAACAAGTAATACTGAGATTAACTCAGAATACTTTTTAAAGCCCCTTTCTCTGCATTGTTGCTGTAATATCACATTTGACATATGCATGGTAGAAAAAATTTTCTCCAACATGTCATGATCAGTGATATTATGTCCACATAATTTTAATGTGGAAGTGACTTTGAATATAGTAGAATTATAGTCACAAACAAATTTAAAATATTGGAATCTTAAATTGATCCATTCATATTGAGCTCTTGGTAGTAGGACCTTTTGTTGATGTCCATATCTCTCTTGGAGATTATCCCATAATTCCTTCAGATCTTCCACCAATAAATATTCAGATTTTGAACTTTCATGAAGGTGGTGGCGAAGGAAAATTATGGCTTTTGCCTTTTGCTGTGATGATGATGTATTGTTTTCAGCAATTGTATTTTCGAGGTCGTTAGCCTTAAGGTGAGCAAGTGCATCAACCCTCCATTCCAGGTACCTTTGACCGGATAAATCAAGAATGTCAAATTCTCTTTTTGTGATGTTGGCAATGAGAACTACAAAATATTAATTAAATTAGTATTTTTTTAAAAAAATATATAAAATAAAAAAATTTAAAATTTTATGTATAAGCAAGAGAACATGTTAAACAATAATACATGATGGTGTAAATTACTTAACCGGTCAAACTACACTAGACCGGGTCTAGAATAGTTTGCTTGATTTGGTAAAGTAAGAAAGGTAAAAACACGCAGATTGACCGGTAGGACTTTAGGTGGAACACCTGTAGCCCAGTTTGTATTATAACGGAGAATGCACGGGTGCTTCTACAAGGGAGTTTAGAGAGAATGAATTCGGATCTCTCTTTCTGAGGTTTACATGAGTATTTATACTAGGCTATGGGGGACAAGACCACGAGCGCCCACGTGGGGGCACGATGCTGATGTGGTGCGAGGTGACTGGCTTCGTCCTCGAGCTGCCTTGTCGCCTTGTGAGGGGGATTATTCCCTTTGTCGAGTAGTGCCTTGGATGGATTCTTCAGCATCTCTAGTTGTCCTCTACTGACATGGGTCGCTACACGCCAAGCCCTCGTAGATTCTCTTCTGCTGACACTTTTCAACCCTAAAAACTACACCGGGTAATCTCCGAAGGATGAATTCATCGAAGTCTGAGAATAAATAGGATGACAACGTAGTTTGACCGGTATACTTTTTCGTGAAGTATACCGGTCATCTTTTGGCCGATTATATATCGTTTTGCTGACGATTTAAGTATCCCTTCCAAAACTTTCAAGATTGACCGGTCAACTAATTGGTCTTCTCCTTTGACCGGTCGTGGGTGGAATACACCCATCAATAAGCCCTCCACTTCTCGGTTACGCAATTTGCCATGAGCGGGAAGTAAAAAGTCTAAAAAGGGACCTCAAATTTGAATTTCAGGCTTTTTCCCGCCCGAAAATCTCAAAATTTAGAATTTGAACTCGAAGCTTTGACACGTGTTGGACACACGTCGCTGCAACGGTCGGCGGCCCACCCGTCGTTTCGCCTGCCAGTGGGTCATCATTGCGCCGCCTCACGCGGCGCAACCTGGAGAGGCCACGTCGTTTGATTCGTCTTCCTCTCTCCTATATAAAGGCCTCCAACCCCCTTCTCTTCTTACTTTTCGCACTTCGCCTTCCAGAGCTTTCACCGGTCAAGTTCCTTCTCTTTCGCTATCCAGCCCTCCGAGTCAAGTAAGTTCCCCCTTCCTTTTCTTTTTTCATTCCCGGCCATGTCTTCTTTTAGCGATAGGATCTCGTCCTCAGGGGGCTGCTCCTCTGAGGACTCCAACTCATCTTCCTCGACCGGGTCTTCTTCTCCTGAATCCACGCCCGGTCAGGTTCCCCACTCCTCTATTCCCGACCCGCATCCTGTTAATCAGATGCCCGGTGAAACTTTCGTGGGGAGGGATGACCCGGTCGATGACGAACTGGGCCCCTATGACCCAGAACACGAAACCCGAGACGCGTGGGAGGAGCGGCTTCATGTTGCCGGTTACTTTCCGCTCCCCACCTTCTACGTCCTCGACATCCCTTCCCGTGTATCCAAAATTGCCTTAAACAAAATCCGTAGGAGGCTCCCGGATGGGTGTACCCTCATGTATGAACCTAACTGGCCCAACATTGTTGAACCCTACCGGGAGGATAGGATAAGATTCAACACTATATCACTGGATGCGGGCATAGTTTTTCCCCTTCGCCCCCTCCTTACAGAAGTCTGCCATGCGTTTAGGATTTTGCCCGGCCAAATAACTCCTAATGCCCACAGGTATCTCCATTCCTTTGTAAATATTTGTACCCATCTGAAAATCTTCCCCTCTTTGCGTCTTTTCCTTTTTTGCTTCGAAGTCCTACCGGGCGGGACTGGCTGCGAAGGTTTTGTATTCTTCAAAGCCCGCACCGGTAGGAAGTTCATTTCCGAAGTCCCCCAGAGTAACCGGGGATGGAAGGAAAAATTTGTTTTCATCGAGTTTCCCCCCTTTGTCACTCCTTTGGCCGGTCTGAACTGGAACGACCATCTGCTCGACCAAGAGTACACTGCACCGGTTTCCTCCCCAGACTTGGAAGCGAATCTTGAGGTCCTCATGCGCGGGGATCCTTTCACCTGGAGGATCTTCCATTATGGAAGCTGGGTTTGGAGGGTGGAGTCGGGTGGTGAGGGTACCTCCCAGGCCCATGAAGCAGCGGGGCGCAGGGTACCCTCCCCGGGCAACACTGCAGAGGCTGAGGGCCAGAACCACCCAGGTACTTTTTACTTTTCTTGTGATTTGCGCTTTGACCGGTACCATTGCTTGTACTTAACAGTTTTAGCTATTTTTGCAGATATGGAGTTCGAAGAGTTCGCCATCCCCGACGACCAACCAACGGGGGAGATCGGGGGCTCCCAAGCCAACACTGCCAGGACCTTCCCGGTCAATCTAGAGACCGTGGAAATCCTTGATGAAGACGAGCCCCAAGACAACCGGTCTAAGGGGAAGGAGAAGGAGAAGACCGGTCGGCGAACGAAGAAGGTCGCCACCACGCACCCTTCTTATGCTAAGAAGAGGGCAAGGCCGGTTTCTGAGCCGGCCGGTAAGACCATCGAAGAGGCCTTCATCAACCTGGGGCTGAGGCTAAAGGAGGTAAGTCCTGCCGCTATCCCGGTCTTTATTTTCTTCCTCTATCGAGAAACTTACCGGTCTGTTTCGTTTTTGTGCAGGCGGGGGAGATTGGGCCGCACACAGTGGACCGGTTGGGGATGAGTTCCCCTTCTGAAGTCGACCGGTTGAAGAAGGAGAAAGAAGAGATGGCACTCATCCTGAGGAGCCAGGCTGATGAGCTGATCCGGCTGTTTGGGCTGGCCAGGGCAATGAAGACCGAGATCTCCCAACTAAAGGAGGAGAATGGCCGGCTAATGGATGAAGTCTCTGAAGCCAAGAGGGAAGTAGCGGAGAAGGAAGAAACCTTCCCCGGGCGCGCAGCTGCCTAGGTGGAAAAGAATAAGGCTGAAGCTGCCCGGGTGATGACGGCGACTCTAGAGACAACGATGGAGTCCTTCAGGCTTTTGTACCGGGAGCCTGAAGGAAAGAAGATGATTACCGCGATTGGATCCTTCGGATTCAAGAGCGGTCAAAAGAAGGACCGGATCGCCTCTCACCGGGTACTGCTCAGAAGAGATCCGAACTTCAGCGCTGCATCCTACGGCCTGGCTCCAATCCCGGAAGAAGAGCCAACTCCCCCCTTCCCCCTAGATTAGGATCTCCCCGGCTGCGCCCGGTTATTTTTGTAAAACATTGAGCAGAAATTTCCCCGGGTATGCCCGGTGTACTTGTAAACATTTGACATTTCCTGCCTTAAATGCCATGTTTGTTTTCCTACCCGGTTAATCTTCCATATCTGCTTGCTTGTTGATTTATACTTTGCTCTTGCTTCCTAGAATACCATCATAGAAATTCTGACCGGTACATAAATCAGGATTAGCTCGAGTAACTTTGACCGGTCAAACCTCAATTTTCGCTTTCTTGGCTTGTTTTTGCATACGCTAAGTCCAACCCGGTTGAACTAAAGTGAACCGGCTGAACTTCACTTTGGCTTTTTGGATGGCTTCACGAATCCTTCGACAAAGTTTAATTTGACCGGTGAATTCCCACTCCATGGTTTGACCGGTCAATTGCCTTGCCTTTCGATGGATGTAGAACTTTCGAAGTTCTGTTGTGCCCATACCCGACCAGGGTATTCTTTTTTTTTTGACCGGTAGGTTGTAGATGGAAACACCTGTAACCTAGTAATTCTTGAAGTATCCTTAACCGGTAAGAATACTGAAGATTTAACCATGTCGAATGGTTTCGAACCCTCTCCAAGGTTCAAATGCACCCTTCTTCCAAGGCCCCCTCTTCCGGGTGATTAAGTCTCTTAATGGCCCTTTGATTTCTACCATCCCGGGAAGGCCTTAGCTCACCCCCCCGTTAAAGTCTTCCCTGAGAAGGGGGGAAACAGGATGCGCCACGGTGGACGATCCCCTTCTATTTCTTTTAATGGGCATCTTTTAGTCCCCAATCAATTTGTCGGTGCCGGCTGATTCCCCGACACCAGTCAAACCTCATGGGCCCGTGTAAGTACGGTTCGAACCCTCTTCCAGGTCCAGCCCTCTTGCAGGCATACCCTCTTCCAGGCCTCTCTTCTGGGTTTTAATATTTTTTTCTATTATACTGAGCAATTCTGCCGCTACCAAGTAGAGTATTGAACATCACTTTGATTGATAATGTAGTTAGGCCTCGCCTAGTATTACAATCATTTGTAGAACTTGCGAAGATGGTGGGAATTCCAAGTTCTTTCTATCGGTACACCATCTAAAGTTTCTAATTGGTATGTTCCTGGTCGAATGACGGCTCTGACCCTGTATGGGCCTTCCCAGTTTTTTGCCAGCTTTCCTCCATCGCCGGGTCTACTTGCTTCTCTTCTTCGTAGGACTTCATCTCCAACTTGGAAATACCGCGGCCCAACCTTGTTGTCATGGTACTTCTTCATAACTTGTTGGTATGTACTCATTTTAACCTCCGCGGCCATTCTTCGTTCTTCGACCAAGTTGAGCTCGGCCAAGTGGTCTTCTTCATTTTGTTGGGAACTCAGCTTCGATGGGCAGCCTTGCTTCACACCCATAGGTTAGGGAGAATGGAGTTTCCCCATGAGTCCTCATGGGTGTTACTCGGAATGCCCATACGATGTGTGGGAGCTCTTCCAGCCACTTGTTTCCTGCTTCTCCCAGCCGTTTCTTTAGACCATCCACAATCGTTCGGTTGGCGTTTTCGACTTGGCCATTCCCTTGGGGGTACGCTAACGAGGAATGATTGTGCTTGATTCCGAAGCCCTCCAAGTATTCGGTGAACCTCAGATATCGGAATTGTGGGCCGTTGTCGGTGATGAGGTTCATGGGCGCTCCAAACCTCGTGATGATGTTCTTCCAAATGAATTTCTTGCACTGCTGCGTGGTGATGTTGGCCAATGCCTCGGCCTCGATCCATTTGGTGAAGTAATCGATGGCTACGATTACGAACTTCTTCCCTCCTTGGGCGACTGGGAAGGCTCCAATGATATCAACCCCGAATCTAGCGAATGGGATGACATTCGATACGGGGTGATAGTAGGTCGCCGGTCTATCGGGGTACTTGTAGAACACCTGGCATGTTCTGCATTTCTGTACATACCTTTCACAATCCTGGACAATTGTTGGCCAGTAATACCCCAATAAGATGATGCGCTGGGAGAGCGTACGGGACATTTGATGCGCCGCGCATACGCTTTCGTGTACCTCCGCTATGACTCGCTCAGCCTCCCGGTTGGTTAGACATCTCAGGAGTGGCCCCCCAAATGCCCTTTTATACAGTTTTCTATCAAGAACCTGGAATCGGGGTGCCCTGAGCTTCACTTTTCTTGACCGGTCATCTTGTTCTGGCAAGCTCCCATCCATCAAATATTCCATCAGATCATACATCCAATGGTCGTCCGCCCCGACCAAGTTTGACCGGTCAGATTGGCTTCCGTCCGTTATAGCGGCTACTTCCAATTTTTCGATGCTTGCACGGTCAAGGATCTCTACCCGGGCAAGTTTTGAAACATGCTCGGGAGCATACTGCATCAATTTGGAGAGAAGGTCTGCATCCGCATTTTCCGCCCGGGGAATTTGGGCGATCTTGAACTCTTCGAAGCCTTTCAACAGGGCAAGTACAAGGTCCTTGTATTGTGCCGTGCGTTCTTCCCTTGCCTCCATGTTACCGGTCACTTGCCCAACGATCAGGCTAGAGTCAGATTTGATAGTGACCCGGCTGATTTTCAGGGCTTGGGCAAGTCTGAGCTCTCCAGCCAGAGCTTCATATTCTGCCTCATTGTTCGTCAGCTTGAAGTTGAAGACGATTGCATGGTAGATCTTGAACCCTTCTGGGGTGGTGAACACGATACCACCTCGTATCCTCTAGGACCGGATGCCCCATCAACTGCCATCTCCCACCATTGGTCAATGAGCTTGTTGACCGGTAGGTCTGGAGTTAGACCGGTCATTTCTACCAGGAAGTCAGCAAGGACTTGTCCCTTGATTGCTGACCTTGGCCGGTACTCAATGTTGAATTGAATTAACATCATCGCCCACTTCACCATCCTTCCGGAGGATGCTGAATTTCGCAACACTGCACCCAGCGGTTGGTCAGTCAAGACTTCCACCGGGTGAGCTTGGAAGTAGGATGTTAACTTTTTTGCGGAGATGAAAAGCGCATAGGCTGTCTTTTCCATCGCCGTATACCTACTCTCAGCTCCGTTTAGTGCTTTGCTCACATAATAAATGGGCTTTTGCGCCCCATCATCTCTTATTAAAACGGAGCTTACAGCATTTGGGGAAATTCCCAGGTACAGATACAGAGTTTCACCCGGTTTGGGTTTAGACAATACAATATCCGACGCTAGGTACTCTCTCAGCTCCTCAAATGCCCTCTGGCATTCTTCGTCCCATGCAAATGTGTTGGCCTTCTTCAGAACTTTGAAGAAGGGCAGGGATCTCTCAGCTGACCGGGAAAGGAACCGGCTGAGGGCCGCTAGACGACTGGTCAACTTTTGAACATCCCTAACGGAGGTAGGGGCTTGCATTTCAGTGATGGCCCAGATTTTTTTTGGGTTGGGCTCTATTCCTCTCTTGGTCACCATGAATCCCAAGAACTTCCCGGTACGAACCGCGAAGACGCATTTCTTAGCATTCAGCCGGAGGTTGTATTTTGCCATGATATCGAATGTGGCTCGCATATCAGCCGGATGGTTGAGAGATACCTGACTTTTGATCAGCATGTCGTTGACGTATGCTTCCATGGTCTTTCCCAGTAGTGGCTTGAAGAGTTTGTTCACCATGCGCTGGTAGGTTGCCCCCGAGTTCTTCAAGCCAAACGCCATTACCCGGTAGCAGTAGGTTCCTTCGGGTGTGAGGAATGACGTCTTCTCTTCATCTTCCTTGGCCATGTAGATTTGGTGATAACCCTTGAAGGCATCCATGAAACTTAGGAGTTCGCACCCCGCAGTTTTGTCCACCATTTGATCTGGACTGGGAAGGGGGTATGAATCCATCGGACAAGCCTTGTTCAAGCCCGTATAATCCACACACATTCTCCACGTGTCGCCCTTGGGAGCAAGGACAACGTTGGCCAGCCAATTTGGGTATTTGACTTCCCGGATGTGACCAACACTGAGGAGGTCCTTCACTTCCTTCTTGACGAAGTCTCACCGGTCACTGGCCAGGTACCGCTTCTTCTGACGTACCGGTCGACTTCTTTCCCTCACGGCCAACCGGTGGCAGATAACAGAGCGATCTATTCCGGGCATAGCCGCCACGCTCCATGCGAATATGCCCGCGTATTCTTGGAGGACCCGTGTAATCTGTGCCTTGAGATCCTCGGGGAGATTTGCTCCAATTCTGACCATCCTCGAAGAATCACCCGGGTGAAGTTCGATTTCCACCGTCTCGGCCTCGGGCTCCAATTTCTCCCGGGTATCTCCCTTTGTGATTTCTTGGGAGATGACATTGACCCCCTTGGTCATCTTCTTGACTGCCCGGGCATAGCACTCCCGGGCGTTCCTCTGGTCGCCCTTCACCTCATCCACACCACCTGGAGTGTGGAACTTCATGCATAGATGAGGCATGGAAATCACCGCCCCGACTCTATTGATGCCTGGCCTTCCAAGAATTGCGTTGTGGACGCATTTGATGTCCACAACTATGAACCGCATCTTCTTCCACACGGTCTTCTCGCCTGATCTTAGTTCGACCGGTATAACTATGGATCCTTCAGCTTCAACGGTGTCTCTCGTGAAGCCTGAGAGAGGGGTTTTGAGGGGTTCAAGTTGTGTCCGACACAACCTGAGTTTTTGGAAAGTCTCCAGGTATAAGATGTTGACACTACTGCCGGTGTCAACAAGTACCCGGGTGACATCCACCCCATTAATGTCCATGGTGATGACCAATGGATCATTGTGATCTTCACCGGTAGGAGGGAGATCTCGGTCAGTAAAGACGATCGGCTCCCTTCTAGTATGCTTACGCCTGGGCGGTTCAGCACATACCTCACCAACGTAAATGCTCCGGACCCAGTTCTTCCGCTATGCGGCTGAATCTCCACCCTCAGGTCCGCCAAAGATCATGTCGATGTGCTCTTTTTCGGGAGCAGGTTGCCGCTCCTTTGGCCGGCTATTCCTCCGCCGGTCGTTGTTCCGGTCATCTCCCGGGGCAGCTGGCCTAACCCATTGATGACTCTTCTCCTGGGCTTTCTGCAAGTAATCCTTGCCTAGCTCTCCACTGTCTATCATCTGCCGGATGACCCCCTTAACACTTTTGCATTCGGAGGTGTTATGCGAATCTAACCTGTGGTACGAACAATAGGTGCCCGACCATTGCCGCCCTGTTTGACCGGTAGGGTTTTCCGGAAGAATGACCGGTGCTTTCCGGATTTCTTGGCATTCTTCCGTATTGACCACACGGACAACCGGGTCATAGTGATGTCTTGGCCGGCTAGGTCCCGAGGCTTCTTCCTTCTTGACTTGCACCGGCTTGGGCTTGTAACCATGCTCAGCTTCTTTCTTTGCTCGGAGCTGGGTTTCAGCCTCAACAAACTCCCATGCAGTGTGGTAGGCCTCTTGGTACGTGGCTGGGGGTTTCCGGCAGAACTCTTTGTATAGTTCCCCGACACGCAAGCCATTCAAGAGGAGGGATAAGACGGTCTTGTAATCCATCTCTTCCACCTTGTCTACCTCTTCCTTCCACCGGGTAAGGAACTGAGTAATGGTCTCAGATTCCCTCTGCCCGGCTGTACTAAGATAGGTGAATTTCTTCCTCTTAGTACAATTCTCCTAGAACTTGGCCTTGAATTTTGAGGCCAAATCACTGAACGAATCAATGCTTCCCGGGCGAAGCTTATTGAACCATTCAGTGGCTCGGTTCTGCAAGGTCTGGAAGAAAAGAAGGCACTTTTCTTCATCGGTGCAACCGTTCATGGTCGCACTCTGGTTGAAGGAATCCAGATGGATTTCCGGATCTTCCTTCCCGGTGAACCTAGGGGCGTCAATCTTGACCTTTCGCGGGAAAGGTGTCAGATGGACCCTTGTGGTGAACGAGGACCCCGCCAAGGGTTTGTCCCGGTCATTCTTCTCCCCGACCTTCTTTTCCAGTCTTTCCAATTTTGCCTCCATCTGCTGGACGCGGTCATTTGGGATGGTCAACCGGTTTGCCACCGGTAACCTGGGCTGGCTCTCTGCTTCCTCTTCTTGACGAGAGGCCCTCGTCCTCGCTGGCTCATGCCGGTTAGACCGGGAGCGCCGGGTGCGGGTAGGCTCGGCCTCCCGCACCTCGCCTAGCCGGGCGAACGCGCTGACATGGGCAACGCTCTGCCCCAGCCTTTGCTTGGCTGACTTCCTCTGGCCTTCCTCCCTATCCCCCAGCCTTTTGAAGGCGGAGTTTCGGGAGGTCGCTGGCCGGATGTTTTTTCCTTTCTTCTTTTTGTGGGCCCTTGGAATGTCCCACTCGCCGTCATCACTCTCAATTGAAACGCAATGACCATCAGGGGTGACTTGCGGATTCGTACCTTGCGGGGGACGCGACGGCCCTGCAGCGTTAAGTGCGCCAGCCAAGTTGACAGGGGCCATGGTGCTGACCAGCTGGGGCTGGAAAGGTGATGGCTGCGGCACCGGCGTCTGGAACGACGCCACCGCCATCGGAGCTTGTAGGGGCATGGTTCCCGCACCCAGAAGAGCGAACGGGAACATACCAGGGAGAAAAGGCATCCCCCCGCTCTGTTGGCACATGGCCATGAACTGACCGAAGCCCTGGACGGCTTGTAGGTTGGCTGGGTCATTCATGAACTGAGTCATGCTTGGTGGGAGCGTGACCATCGGTCCAGCGGAAGGGACGGGGGTCGCGAAGGGACTGATCACGCTGGCCGTCGGGACAGAGCTCAGACCCAGAGGCAACACCGGGGCTGAAATGACCGGTATGGTAGCAGCCACAGGGATGCTGGCACCCTCATTGGTAGCTTGCACCTGAGCGGAAGTAGCGTTGATCTGTTGGCTGGAAGACATTTCGAGTGGTGTTCTTGTGGGTAGGTTTGTGTCTAGAAGAGAAGAAACCTTAACGGTCCCACGGGTGGCGCCAAAAATGATGGTGTAAATTACTTAACCGGTCAAACTACACTAGACCGGGTCTAGAATAGTTTGCTTGATTTGGTAAAGTAAGAAAGGTAAAAACACGCAGATTGACCGGTAGGACTTTAGGTGGAACACCTGTAGCCCAGTTTGTATTATAACGGAGAATGCACGGGTGCTTCTACAAGGGAGTTTAGAGAGAATGAATTCGGATCTCTCTTTTTGAGGTTTACATGAGTATTTATACTAGGCTATGGGGGACAAGACCACGAGCGCCCACGTGGGGGCACGATGCTGATGTGGTGCGAGGTGACTGGCTTCGTCCTCGAGCTGCCTTGTCGCCTTGTGAGGGGGATTATTCCCTTTGTCGAGTAGTGCCTTGGATGGATTCTTCAGCATCTCTAGTTGTCCTCTACTGACATGGGTCGCTACACGCCAAGCCCTCGTAGATTCTCTTCTGCTGACACTTTTCAACCCTAGAAACTACACCGGGTAATCTCCGAAGGATGAATTCATCGAAGTCTGAGAATAAATAGGATGACAACGTAGTTTGACCGGTATACTTTTTCGTGAAGTATACCGGTCATCTTTTGGCCGATTATATATCGTTTTGCTGACGATTTAAGTATCCCTTCCAAAATTTTCAAGATTGACCGGTCAACTAATTGGTTTTCTCCTTTGACCGGTCGTGGGTGGAATACACCCATCAATACACATCATAAGATTCTAATATTTAAAAAAATGTACTTCGTACTTTATAGGCAACAAATACCCACTAATAATTTGTTTGATTCCATTGGCAGGAAATCAATGTTAACATGTGATTTTTTTACGGGACCATGAATGAATAGACATCAATTTTAAAATTGATTCTCTTTTGAAAATTAATAAAGCACAACATGTTTAAAAATGGTCTGGCATGATATAAAAATATCACATGTATCCTAAATAAAATATTGATACACAATTATTTGAAGAGATATAGATGTAGGAATCCTATGCAATTTCTTTTTTTTATTAAAAAACGGAAGATGATAACATAATAAGACAAAGGTGTTTGGATGATAAGTGATATATCAATCAATAGAGCATCTTTTTCAATTATTTTAACCTTATCTCTTTATATTAGTATGATTTAAAGTCCTCTCAATCCTTTTAAAACTTGGTAGAGCTTTATGAGAAGAAGAAAAAAATAGTCTCACACGTAGATTGAAAGTAATAGGAGTATGCACGGTATATGTGTGTGTGAGGCGTATGATGAAGAGACAATGACAAAGAAGAAGAAAAAAAAATCTTTAGCTCCAAAAATGGGAGGAAGAGAAAAACAAATCATAGTAAGTTTATTTAATACTATCTTTGATCTACCATTCTTTTTATTTTAAGATAACTATGAGTTTCTGATGTGATGGATCCCTAATGTTGGGCAATCACAGAGCATATTCCTCATAATTTATTTTTTTTAAAGAAAATATTTTATTTTGTTTATGAAGAAAATTAAATAAATATACCTTCTAAGAAGAACAAGGACTTTGAGATTTTTGAGCAAATTCGTGCTGATAACGTGTTATAAAACGAGATTAAAACTACTCAGAGATTATGAAAATAAATATGATATGTTTCTGATTTCTTCTCTCTATTGGTTCTTCACTGTGAATTCTTGTTCTTAAATGGTGATTTGCAGGGATCCTAAGCCTCCTATTTATAGTAGAGAGGCTTAGTGGTAACACTATTACAAATAGTATACGTACTATACAAATGGCAACTTGATGGTGATGATAGACAATTTGTTCCTGCAACTATCATGGAGCATGACCTAATTAATTGATAAATGAACAATTCATATTTTTCTTAACACAAACTTATAATATTAAACATAACTAATCAATGGAGTCATATGTATGAAAACTGAAACCAAATCATTACAAAAAATTGTCGGCCTAGAATTCTCTAATCTCGTCAAGTTGTTCCTACGAATATGGTGCTGTAGAGTCAAACACCTACAACTTAAAAGCCACTTTCAATGTATCTTTCACAATAACCAAAAAACTTACAATAAATCTAAAATAATCATAAAGGAGAAGCTCAATGATTTTACTCTATATCATAAGAAAAGAAGTAATTTAAGGATGGAAGGAGTAGTAATTAATTTCGTATTTAATAATAGATATGTAAATGTTGAGTACTCATTTAAATTGGTTTATATTATATGGAAACTCGAAAGATACAACAAAAAAAGTATCCAGGATCGTAATTTTTACATCAGTTGTCCAAATAGTTGCGATCTCTTGAACACAACACATAGTCCAGACATAACAACTCGACATTCGTGATGTCATGCTCGATGATGTATTCGTGTAATATTCTTTATAGTTGACAAGTAGCTTAATAATTGCATTTTTATACTCCCTCCGTCCCAGAGTATTTGTCCACTTTTAACTTTTTTCGGTCAAAATTGGTAAACTTTAAACCCAAATTAAATAAAAGTGATATTAGGTATTAATACAAAAATAGTTTTATTAGATTTGTTATATAAAATATTTTCAAAATATTATTTTATCTAATTAATACACAATATATATTTTATTTAATTGTAAGTCAAAGATTGAAAAAGGTTGACTAAAAAAATTGAAAACTGGACAAATACTCTGGGACGGAGATAGAACTAATAAAAACATACAAGTACTTATTCGTCTTTAGTTAAGTATGTAGTTTCTTGTCATGCCTCAAGAAAATAATGATGATGGTCTGATCAACCTCCTCCGATCGCATGAACTCTCTGATATTCTCATCTTAGTCTCCTCTAGATAGTTCATGCACTTTGGTTTGAGAACGAGACTAACGTGGAATAGTTCATGCACTTTGGTTTGAGACTGGGGTAGGACATATAATGGGGTAGATAAATAATGATATTCACATAGTAGGGTGATTATGGTTTTCACAATAAGAGGTAGTGGAATAGGTAGTATATGGGTTTTTAAGACATCTGATACTCCCTCCATCCCAAAATAAATACTACTCTTACTATTACTGCCTCTCAGTAACTTTTCTAGTTGTATTTTTTTCATTGATAATTTGATAAAATGAAATATTCTTGAATTTTTTATGTACTTTTAAACGGTGTAATTTGTACTTTTTATTTTTATACCAATTTATAATTAAAATTATTTTAAAAGTGATCAAATTTTGCACGTTGTTCGAAATGTGACATCTATTATGGAACGAAGGGAGTATGTTGTTTGTGCCTTAAGGTCAGTTACAATGGGCGGATTCTTGCCTATTCCCTCTCCAGTCTTCACAACCACGAGATCATTTCTCTCTTTTCTTGCACTAGACCAAAACACTTGCAACGCTATCCCCTTCTCACCTTAGCTCTCGATTTATATTATTATATTCATCATCTTTGCTTATATAAATGTTTTGAAGTTATTTATCTATTAATAAAAATAGATATATTATAATAAAATAATAAAAAAATTATAATAATAAAAAATTTCAAATAAGAAATGAAATATAAAATACGCAATAATGCAATTAAAAAGTAAACAATAAAAAATATTAGTAATAAAAAATAGTACAAAGTAACAACAACAATAATGACAATAATAAGTAAACTACAAAAAAACAATAAGCTCAGAAATAACTAAAATAAAAAAAATAATTAAATATTAATTATTGAAATTAAAAAATAAAATTGAAATTAAAAAAAGTTGAAATTGAATAAATGAAATTGAAATTAATAAGTTTATAATAAAAAAGATAAATGAAAATGAAAAAACATCATGAAAAGCGCGTACTCGTGGACGAGCGAGTCGACCTTCGAGTCCTTAACTTGACCTGTTCCTTCATATGTGACCTCTAATTTGTTCCACATCTTCTTGGCCGTCTTGCACCTTGATATTTTTTGATAATCATCTGGATTCATGGCACAATATAGAAAAGAACCATGCTACACTTATACCAAAAATTGTACCCCATTTGTACCCCGCAGTTATACACAAACATTTTGATGGCTTACACTAACACAAGTGTTGGTGCGTTAACAAAAATTTACACGGACACAAAGTGTTAGTGCATTAATAAAAATTAGTTTTACACCAGCACAAAATGTTGGGGCAAAACTGTGGGGTACAAAAACTTGGGGTACAAATAGCTTTATCCTATAGAAAAATAATGGCTCTTGCATTTAGCTGCACCTTCTTCTTGTCATTGAAAGTATATTTTGTCTCTAGCTTTGGAACAAGTTCTCCATAAACAATCTTCGTGGATATTGTATCTTCATGCTTGATCACCAACCAAGAATCAAAATCATTTGATTAGATGAAGATTCTCATTCTCTCTTTCCAACAAGTATAATTTGTATCGTCGAAGAGTGGTGCCCTTGTTATGGATTGCTCTTTCGGCGACTCTGGGTTGAAATGTTCTTCTGGTCATGATCTTTTAGATTTTCAGCGGTAAACCCTTGAAAAAATCCTTGCTTTGATACCACTTATTAGACGCCTTGCACACCTCTAGAGGGAGGGGGGTGAATAGAGGTGTTGCCCAAATGGCTGGTTTTTCGCGCGGAAGCGTTTTCACAAAATTTTCGATCAAAACCAACACACCAAAAATAAAATAAAGTGAAGGATAAAAGCAATGAAGATACGATATATACTGGTTCAGCCTAAATTTCTACATCCAGTCCCCAAAGAAAACGTGCCCGAGACTTCACTAACCCATCAAATTTAATGGAGTTTGACAATCCGAATACAACTCGAGAACTTGATTTCACAAGCCTCTTATCCTATCAACAAAGCCTTGATTTCACAAGACTCGGGATTTCTTCCACCTAATGTTTAATTTCACAAACCGTTAGGATTTCTACCACTTGGTGTAATCTCAACACCAAGAATACAAATTCCTTACAAAAGTAAGAAAACAAACCACAATAGAATAATTCTCCCAACACAGAGTATATTGCTGCAAAAACAATGAAGTCATATAGAATATGGAAAATATCTCAAAGACTCAAGAAATGAGGATAAACTCAAGCAAAAAAGGATTCTGTAATCAAAATAATTCCCTTGTTTGGATATTAGAAAGGGATTGAGTAGAATCTCTTTGGATATTCAAAGGATATTTTTTTTGAAAGTTCAAAGGATGTGTTCTGATATGTGTTCTTGATATTCTTCATTAAGGAAAAAAACTTGATAATAAGAGTTATAAAGGATATGGATGATGTAACTTCCAAAAGATTTTGAAAAATTGACCACTGGACAGTTCATACAACCGATTTAGTCGACTAAATTAGGATTTATTTGACTAAATCCGGCTAACCTCTCTGCTGCAAGAAACAGAAAACTTCAAAAATGTTAAGACCATTTTGAAACCAACTCAAAAATATTTAGAGAAGATTTTGAAAAACATTTTAAGACTAGGAGAAATAATTATATGTCATACTCTTTAACAAACATTCTAAGACCTAAAAGACTATCGAATCAAGGTAACAAAGTCTTCAGTCTCGATCCTTCGACCGATGCTCAAGTCCCTTCTTCACGTACATATATGAACTTTTTGTAGCTTTGATTCTTAGACTTGATGCACAATATGATGGTGATCTTTTGTCACATTTTTGTCATTATCAAAACCTTAAAGACAATGGGCAAATGACACTGCAAATATATATATATATATATATATATATATATATATATATATATATATATATATATATTCATGTTTTCACATTGTCCAACAATAGTGACACTAAAAGTTACTGCTGTTTCAAATTCTACTTATTTCATACTCTTTTTTTACTACAAGTGAGGGTGTGCATACTCCAATTTGTCAACTTACTACAACTATTTTTTAAATAAATAACTGAAACACACAATATATATTAATTTTTAAAAAATTTAAATGCTTATTTTTTAATAATTAATATTAAAAATAGATAAAGTGTTAATATTTAATTAACATGGTAACAAAAAAGAAGATTTCATCGATTTAAACAAAACTACAACACTAAATAAAATAAAATATCAATCACAAATATAAAAACTTATAAATACGAGTATGAGAGAAAATATAAATTACGAGGGCGTTAATTTTGAGACTTTGAGAGTGTGAGATATAAAAATGGGTGGAAAAGAAATATGGGTTGTGTTTGTGAAAATAATGTTGGTCGATGTGCCCATGCCTTGGGCGGGGGGGGGGGGGGNTTAATAAAATTGGTGCTGGCAAATGCGGAAGCAATGAAAATAACGCATAAGTAAAAAGCATAATGTAAGAACACACTAATTTATACTTGTTTGAGAAATCTTTACCCTGTACCTTAAGGCTTCTCTTTAAGGATATCCAAAGCACCATACTAGATTTGGCGAGTAACTCTACCCAATAAGATTTACTAAGGGATTTCACCACAGCTATCCTAAATCGCTTACAATGAAGATTTCAAGGCTATCCCCGACATTTTTCACTAAGGATTTGAAAGGCTATCTTTGAATCTTTTACCCAAAGATTTGTTGGCTATCCTTATCCGTCTACACAAGGATTTATATGGGTATCCTTGACCATTACAATTGATGAAGAGCGTGTCTAAAAACACACAAAAATGTTCAACCATTTTGGCCTATGATAAAGAAAAAGATCAATCCATCCCTGGTGAAGAAAAAAGAATATACTCTTTAAAACAATACAAGATCAACCTAATGAATATAAGAGTATATACATATAATCACTAGCTCAATGCGTGTATAAAAAAGTAGAATAAAAACAAGGCTCGAACAAGCCAAAATATGAAGATTGAAGAAGAAGATCAAGAACAGACTTAGAATATGAAGATGGATGATTACGAGATTGGATTGATGATTAGAATGAAGGATTTCAGCTCTATTTATAGTTCAACATCAAATATGTACGTTGATAATCATTTTGAGCGGATTAGGAAGGATTTGGGTCATTAGATGTGATTAGAGTAAAATCACCAATTTTGAAAAAACTATCTGTTGAAACGGTACCTAGGTGTCGGCTTAACGGTAGGGGGTCCCAGACCAACGGTACTTGGGTCTCGGGTAACGGTAGCTAGGTACCTTCTAAGGCAAAAACTCTTTGACGGTGCCTATCTTACGGTAGCTGTTCCGGTAGGGGGTCTCGACCAGATGGTAGGGGTCCCGGGCTAACAGTAGGAGGTACCTTGTCAGGAAAAAATTCTCTGACGGTAGCTATTCTAACGGTACCTGTTCTGGTAGGGGAGTCTGGGACCACTGTGTGGATTTTCCATTTTCGGCCAAATCCTTTCCAATTTTTTGAAAACCTTTTGAATGTTTGAAAATGATTACAATAAGGTTTTAAACATATTCTGTGAGCCCATTTGAGCTTGTGAATATAGACATATAAAAACATATTCTAACATTTAATCCTACCTATATTCTATGCTAGTTTGGTGTTTTTACTTCGTTCTTGAGAACTATTACTAAATGGATTCTTGTTGTTCCTGAAACACTCAAATAGACATTAGCCCGTATATTGTTTGTTAATATCAAACTATGAGATTAAGTAAACAAATGCTAAAAATCTCCCCCTTTTGATTTGACAAACAATATGCTTCAAAATGAGTTGGGCGGGAGTAAAGATAATGAAACAAGAAAGCCCCCCTAAGAATAAGCATATTAAAATATTCACTTTGAGCTTTCTTTGTGTTTATTAAAAGCTAAGTTTAATGCAAACAATAACACACAAGAATACGCTCAAGTTTAGTTGTAAACATATCACTTTGAAGTATACATCTTCTCTCAGTTTTGTCAAAATAGAAAAGGGAATTTTAAGATTTTAAACTTGTATAACTTATCGAAACTCTTCCCCTATCAAAAAGGAATTTTCTGAAAAATGATGGTTCGGAGATCATTGGGTAAAAAGTGTATTTACAACAAGACTCACGTAAAACAAAAATTTCCCCTAAAGTAATGCAAGTTTTAAAAACTTAATTTTTAAGAGATTTTTGGGAATATTTAAAAAACATGATCGGAAATGTTTTCAAAAAAATATTAAAAATTATTTGATCATGCAAACCAAGGATAGTGTAGGAAAAAGATATATAAACATATTGGAACTTGCATGGGATAAGTTTTTAATTTAATTTGAAATAAAAGAGAATTTTTTATCTCAAATAATTTAGGAGATTTACCTCGGTTTATGGATCCGTTTCTTTGACTTAGAAGTCTTTGTATTTTTTTAAGACTTGAAGATGGATGATTACGAGATTGGATTGATGATTTTGAGTCGTTCCCCGAAGTGGCAACAACTCAACAATCCCGACGGCGGATCGTTCCGGAAAAGATCCACTGTCGATGTCGAGGTTGAGGTCGACGAGACTATCGGTTCTACCGATCAAACCCCTCCCTTCAACTTTGCGGATTCCGATGACGAGGACCCCATTCCACGGCCGATCGGAAGAAAGAAGGCAAAATCCATTGCCTCTGGTTCGGGAGGGCCCGCCTCTGTTTCCGCTTCTTCCCGCGACGAAATCGGCCGGACAATGATTGAACAACTTCGGGCGTTCAATCTCCAAGAACAAGAGAGGTTGAAGCTAAAGGAGGAGTTGAAGCTAAAGGAGCAGGAGGCCGAGATGAAAGTCATGCAAACCGACCCCGCGACGTTGTCGGAGTTTGGACGAATGATCTACGAGCAAAGAATGAGAGAGATCAATGAGAAATATAATTTACCTTAGTTTTTTTATTAATGTATCTTTTTTTTTAAATTATTGCCGTTTTTTATTTAATTAATGTATTTTTTTATTATTCGTGTTTCAATTTAATTAAAGAATAAATTAATTACATTTTATTAATTTAATTTTAGAAGATGTATATTTAAAAATCTAAAAAATGAAGGCTTGAAACCTCAGTTTGAAACCCGGGGCTTCAAACCCATTTCAGTGAATTTTGGGTGTAAGTTAAAGCTGACGTGGCAGAGAGAAAGTTTGAAGCTCCGGTTACCAGTGCTCTAATAATGGTAATGAAAATGCTTATATATAAATTCAAAAGTAAAATCATAATTTGTCTTCAAAAATATTTTCCCCAATTTTCCAAAGAACGCAGTGCAGGATAACTGGCTCCACCGAGTGAACTCAGAGAGCTCAAAGTCTCAAACCCTTGCGCGCAGATCCAGAAAGCAGAAATCCGAAATTATGGATTTCTCGTCTCAGCAGCAACAACAATACCAGTATTGGCAATTGCAATCTCAATCCTATGATCCATCCGCCTACAACTATCATCATCATCAATCCTATTACCACCAACAATACCCAAACGGCGGCTGTGATTACACCAATCAGCAGAATGCCCAACAACCACAAGAAAAAAACCACCAACATATTCATCCCCCGGGGGTTTCGGATCCATCTTCCACGGGCTTGTGTGCGCCAAGTCAGGAGAACCCATATCAGCTTCAGGCGCAACAAGGAAGTGGGGATCCCTCTGTGGCGGCGACCATGACCTATCTGACCCCTGGGTTGCAGCAGGGGCACCAATGGTATTCGCAGCCGGACCCTTATGCTCCTTCTATTGGTGGTCCAGGTTTGGCTATTGGAGTAGGCTCGCAGCCTTATGTGCTACATACTTCAGTGGTAAGTCTTCATTAATACTTTGTATCTTGGGGTCTTAGATTTTGACATTCAGATGTTTTTTTTTCTGAATCAATGCCTTGTTTTGTTGTTTGGCCATAAAAGTTTGCACAGCTTGGGGCCATTGGGCCTTATTTGTGTTCTATAACTGTATACCATTATCTTACATGTACAAGCTATTCTGTGCTGGATAGGAACAAGCTATTGCGTTTGGTTAAGTTTGTTTGTTTTTCACTTCAGTTACTGGGTTAATTCCCTTGATGAACACTAGAACAACTTATAGAAAGACTCTTGGAAACCTTTGTATCCTTTCTATTTTACTAGGAAGGTTGCATTTGAAAGTGGAAAGAATAAGATGAACAAATTTAGAGTATGTGGCTGTTCTTTTCAACTTTTAATCCCAAGTATTCAAACGTTAGTCTTTAGTCTCTAGTGCCCAGTCTCCAGCCTCTTGGTTCAAATCAATAACCGGACCTCAGATTTTAGTTAAAATTTGAAGAGTATCCAGACTCGAGACTGTAGTCTTTTGACTTCAGTTAAAATTAAGGCAAAAAGAAAAAGCTATTAGATTGGCATTTATGCATGGTATCAAACTTGATTTTGTATTTTGCCTTTGTCACCTCTTGTTTGTACTTCGTAGTTTTTGAATATTACTCCCTCTGTCTCTAATTAATTGGCTTGTTTATTGTTCCAGGCTTCCGATAACTTTTTTTTGTGTATGCATTTTCATTGATCAATTGATAAAATTAGATAAACATGCAACATTTGCTTTGTAACCGGAGTAAAACTTTGAGGTAGTTTTTAAAGTTTAAACATGTACTCCTAAATTATACACTGCTTTTTTTCTATATCAATTTGTAAATAAAATCATGAAATTTTTCACATCCTATAATTTTTTTATTTTGGGTATGGAGAGTATTTATAAATACCAAGGTTAAAACATGGTGACAACATGAAGAGACACCAAGGGAATTACACACACCACTCGGAAAACTACAAAGAGAGTCTTGGTGTGGGTGGGTCAGTGTAGGAATTAAGCAACTGGTACTTACTTGCTTGGTATATATATCCGGGTATAGGGCCTGTTCATGGTCTGTTAACTTTATTTAATGTGTAGGCAGTGTAGCTTATAATAATTGTAAACATGGAGAAATGTTTTTATAGTTTTGAAATAATGGAAATGTAACTTTTTGCTCAAAATTCATTGTTGTGTTTATATATTTTATTGTGCTCTTGGAATTATTTTCTTACACGTTTAATTAATAATATCTCACCAGATTTAGGACAAGGAATGACACTGTTTTCCTATATATATATATATATATATATATATATATATATATATATATATATATATATATATATATATATATATATATATATATATATATATAAGAGAATGCGTTCTATTTTTTGAATTTCCTCTATTCTTTTACCCCAACACTTTTAGTCCTGACTTATCTTGGGACCTATCAAGCAGGCTTCCCAGGCTCCACAGAAGTTTGGCAATCAAAGGGGAGGCCGGCCATTACGGGGAAAATCTTTACATGGAAAGGGACACAGTCAAGGCAGAGGTGTTTCTACGGTGTCGTCATCCTCCATCACTGATGCTTCAGCTGGCAATAACCAGCAGGCAAAAGTCTTTAGGTGTGAAGTGTGCAAAGCTGATTGCACTAGTCTCGAAGTCCTTGAACAGCACAACCATGGAAAGCGGCATATGAAGAACTTGAGAAAGTTGGAGTTGTCGAAACGGTTAGCTGAAGTCCAAAATGGCAAGAAAATTGTTGCTGATCCAGGGAAGACTCAAAATTCACTTCAGGTTGAAGAGAGCAAGCCGGGCATTTCCATAAAACCATCTCAATCTCTTGAACATCAAGCTGCAGTACAAGGTGAAGATGGAAAACATGAATTGGAAAATCCTGATGTGCCAGTACCTTTGGAGGCACCCAAAGTAATTGATCAAAGGCGCGGATCAAAACGTGCAATACGAGGAGGTGGTCGCGGTGGGAAGCGAATGAGAGTTTCTGGGCCGTCGTCAGAAAGGGGTCCTCCAAAGCCTAAAGTTGTAATTCCTTTAGTATGTGATTTGTGTAATGTCAAGTGCGATACACAGGAAGTTCTGGACCGTCACCTTTCTGGTAAAAAGCACTTATCGAAGCGCAAGCACTTTGAAGCTCACCAAGCTATGTATGGACCTCTCGAGCTTCAAGTCCTGTACCCACCCAATCCCATCACGCAATCTCTGCTCCAATCACAACAACCCCTCTCTGTTCCCCATGAAACATCTGAACCTTCAGCACCAGCAGCACCATTGCCGCCTTTGACTTCTCAATCTCAAAATACTGCACCTTAAGCGTCGTGTACTATTTACATTGTGAATACTGGGTCTATTCTACTACCCCCAGGAACAATCACTAGTTTGGTGGAAGCTATTTTTGGATGAGTAGGCGAGGCCATCTTGGGCAGCAAACACCAATGGAAAAAATTTGTCTGCAAATGTCATTCTTACTGTCGCATGAGAAGAGGCTTAAATGCATTTACTGCCATGACTTCTTTTGTTTATTATTTTGCCATTACTTCAGAAATAATTAGCCTTGAATCCCTTGATCTATAGGATCAAGAATCACTGACCTAATATCTGGCAATTTAATTTTATTAGTTGCTTACTTTTTCAGAGGAAACTTATATGTTTTTTTATTTTCATACCAATACTACAGTCTAATACATTGAAATGAAGGGAAAACGTGTACCAAGCTGTGTTGTTAGCCTTTTTTGAATTGCAAAGTTAAGTTTTTTAAAAGCTATATTCATAGATCTAGGGGCATAACATGACTATGCATGACCTCTTGGACTCGACTAAGCAACTCTACGGAATTAGGTGCGAGAAAACCGAAGCTCTCAAACGCAAATGGTATAAACATATGTTGGTTGTTGAGGCACGCTCACTCTTGTTTGGTCACTTTGCATGAAGTAGTTTTTAACCCAGCCTGGCCCTTCGAGAAAACACTAGATCCTAAATCCACAAGAGTAGAAATCTCTGCCAATTCCCTACAAGGGTGTTTCCCATCCATCCATTGACTAAAATATCAACTGGTTTGAGCGTGAACCTTCCTTCCAAAGGACTAGTTAAGAAATACTTTCTGTCCCAAATTAAATTGCTTGTTCACTATTCACAGGGTCAAAGTTCATTCGCTTTCGTTCTCTATTTTTGTTAGTCATTTGATAAAATAATATAACCACGTTACTACTAGTTTTGTAGATCTTTTGATGAAGTATTTTAACATGTAATTTTTACTTTTTAATTTTATACTATTTTTCATATAAAATGATTTGAAAATAATGTCAGTCAAATATCATAAAAGAAATCAACCCTAATAGGATTAAAACATTGTGCTAATCCCTAAAATAGAAGTTGATGTTTTTTTATTACCCAAATAGGACTACTCCCGCCATATTCTATCTTCCTCTACCGATTTTGCCCTCCTCTTTCTTCTTCTGCCAATATAGCTCCACCGGATTGTCTCTACCGAGGGGGCGAGGTTCGAACCATAGGCAGGGGGATTGCAAGTTGATGAAGGGGATTTTCAGGAGATAATCATTGGAAATTAGAGTGCAATTTCTGGTGACCTAAGAAATTACATATGGCTTTTGTGGTTTTCATCGATCTCCATGATATTGCAGTATCTTCATAAGTAAACACATATCCTGTTTGAGATTTTGCCTTTTGTGGATCAGACAAATATCCTGCATCAGCGTATCCAACAAGAGTGGCCTTGACACCTTTGCGGTAAAATAAACCAAAGTCAATGGTACCATTGAGATATCGCAAAATATGTTTAATACCATTCCAATGCCTCCTAGTCGGGGTCGAGCTGTGTCGGGCTAACAAGTTCACTGAGAATGCAATATCTGGTCGAGTGTTGTTTGCTAGATACATCAAAGCTCCAATAGAACTCAAGTATGGTATTTCAGGACCGAGTATTTCTTCATCATCTTCACGAGGTTGGAACGGATCATCATGTATATTGAGAGAACGGACAACCATCGGGGATGTGAGAGGATGTGCTTTGTCTAAAACTGCTTCAGAACCTTCTTCGTGTAATTTCACTAGTGGATGAATATTCCATCTTTCAAATGGTCAATTTGAAGACCAAGACAAAATTTTGTTCTCCCAAGATCTTTCATCTCAAATTCTTTAATGAGATATTTTGCAGTGTTTTCTATTTCATTAAAAGTTCCAATGATATTTAAATCATTAACATATACTGCAATTATGGCAAAGCCTGATTTAGATTTACGGATAAAAACACATGGACTAATTAGATCATTTTTGTATCATTCTCTGAGCAGATATTCACTCAGACGATATTACAACATTCTCCCAGATTGTTTTAGTCCATATAGTGACTTTTCCAATTTTATGGAAAATATTTCTCGAGGTTTTGAACTATAAACCTCAGGCAATTTTAGGCCTCCAGGAACTTTCATATATAAGTCAGTATCGAGAGAACCATACAACATGTTGTCACTACATCCATTAAGCGCATTTGAAGTTTTTCGAAGACAGACATGCTTATCAAAAATCTCAACGTAGTTGCATCAACTACTGGGGAATAAGTTTCTTCATAATCTATCCCCGGGATTTGAAAAAAACCTTGGGCAGCGAGTCGGGCTTTATATCTCACAATTTCATTTTTCTCATTGCACTTACGCACAAAAACCAATTTGAAACCAACTGGTTTCACGCTTTTTGGCGTAGGAACTATAGGCCCAAAAACACTTCATTTTTCAAGTGATTTCAATTTTGCCTGAATTGCTTCGTTCCATTTTGGCCAATCATGTCTACATCGACATTCATCAATTGAAGTTGGTTCAATGTCATCATTTTCATATATGATGTTTGTGGCAATGGCATATGCAAATATATCATCTACATAAACATCTTTTCTGTTCCATTGCAATCCCGTAGAAACGTAATTTATTGAGATCTCATAATTATCAACGTTTCTATCTTCATCTGAATTATTCGCATCTTCCGAGATTGTTAAATCCTCATTTGAAACAAATCGTTCGTTGATATTATCTCTAAATAGAATTTAAAAAACTAAAGTTTAACACATATGAAAACAACTAAAAGTAGTAGGGGCCATGACCCCTAACTAGTATGAAATGGATTTGCCCCTGATTGACATATTAAATGTTATGTACATACGTAAAATTATAGTTGAATTTTAAATTTTTTCTTACTTAATTTTATAAATTATAATTTTCTAAAGTGCCAAAGTCATAAAGTACTTCAGTTGACATTTTTACATTTTTGGTGTGTTAGGTTAGAGGAAAATTATTTTCAAAGAAAAAATATTTTCCAAGGAATAATGATTTTCAATGAAAATATTTCTCCCCATATTTTTCATTATTTGGTAAGAGTGAAATTATTTTTCTAAAAAAATATTTTAAATGTAGAACTTTCTAGATAAAAGTAAAAAATTATAAAAAGACTAAAATAGGTGTCCTAAGTGTTTTAAGACTAAAATGAGAGTTCATACTACCATTATTACACTATCAAATTCACAACATTATCACACTACAACTCACACACTATCCTTGTCACACTCTCATGATCTCATCCATCACCCCCAACTACTAGAGTGTCGCCGCCAATCACTGACGATTGATGGGGTAGTGGGATAAGAGGGGGTGAGGGGTCTGGGTGGTGGGTGGGGGTTTACGGGGGTGGCAATGTAGGAAGGAGTGAGGGTTGTAGGGGTTTGGGCAGAGTGGGAGGGATTGGGGCAAGGGGTGCTGGGGCTAGGGGCGGGGGTGGTGGATAGAGCGAGGGCGAGGAGTGAGTGAAAATTTTCTTTCATATCAAATAGAAATCGTTTTCCTTGACAAGAGAAAATATTTTATTTAACAAATATTTTTCCAAATTTTCTGAAAGAAATATTTTTTTCCCCAACTAGATGGAGCTTTCAAAATTTTTCCCCAAAATTTGAATACAAAAACTCAAAAAGGGACCAAGAATCACTTAGAAAAGAGACTCAGACCATGTTGATACCCACAATTAGCGGTTCCAGATCCTTTAGACTAGACCGGTACGGTGTCAACCTAAGAGCATTAGCAGCGGCGAGGCCACCTCTTGCCTCGCCCTGCCACATCAGGTTTTTCCCATGTATGCCGAGGAGTGGTAAGCCGTGTCACCCTGCATATCAAGTCAGGCCCATGGCAACTAAGCTCCCTTTCTCTCTTTCTTTTTACTTTTTTTTGTACAAAAATTAATTTTTTTAATAAAAGGAGTAAATTCATTTTTATATAAAAAAAATAAGTAAAGTAATATTTTAAATAAAATAAGTATAAAGTATAAAAATTGAAAAAATAATGACTTGCCATTACAAAACATACAATTTTACTCACTTGACACACGCTGACTTAATTGATTTTGATTGATTATTATACTCCATTCCACTTTTCACTAGCTATTGCCTATGTTCTAACAGCTAGACCCTTCCCTTGAAATGAGACGCGGAAAGGAGAGTCAAAACGGAACGGACGACTGTTGTAAAAGACCCTTTTCTGTTGGGGCTCTTACCAGAACAACGTCGCAAGATCGCAACCAGTCTTCTCTCTTCTCTCAATCTGTCGTCTCCGATCATGACTCTTTCGCCGGCTCTAGTTTTTTAGCCGGTCTTCGTTTCGTTGCTCACTTCCCCTTCGCTCGACTGTAAGTGTTAGATTTTTTTTCAATAATTGGTTTCACAAGTAATTTGATTCTTAATTTTTGCTTTCAATGGAATGATGGATGCTGTTTATTCTTCATTGCTGACTTCATCTTTGACTCCACTTTGGGGCTTCAATTTCATTTATTTTTCTCCTATGGTGAGTAGTTGGATAGGGGAAACTGATCAACACAATGTGGAAAATCAATGAAGTACTCAGTAGTTCGGAGTAAATTTTTACGCCCTCTGTTCCACAAAGCATTTGGTCGTTCAGACTTGATCAAAGCTGTTTACAATTCAGTTTAGTACTCCCAGTCTCTCACGGAGTTTGGGACCAGGAAAAATAGCATGTAATTGTGTGGTTGATATTGATTTTTTTGAGTATGGGTGACTCTGTGACATAAACATGACCAATTATAATATGAGGCACATTTTTGGGACAGATGGCAGATCAAAACAGAGAAATGAAACAAGCATAGTGTGACAGAGAGATGTAATTTATAATTGGTATTTAAAGTCTAGTTATTTCAGAGCTGCAATCTGCACAAGAGTACTGTTAGAGTGAAATACCAATCTTGAAAATGATGTAAAAATTTTTTAGAGAGGAAGCAAAGAAAAAAGATTTTGTTTGACAAGATGAATCATGGTAGAAGCTATCCTTTTGAAACCTAGATACTACTGCACAGTGTACTCTGTACTATTTTTATACTCATTCCGTCCTAATTTAGGTGTCCGCCATCCATAATACTTCATATTGAAGGAGTGAGAGCGAAATGTCAAACAAGTACTTCAAATGTAATTATCATTTATTGATGTCAAGTTCTCAACTAGCTCATATGCTATCTAGAGGATATTTTAGATAATGCACCATGCATTGTTTACAAAATATGAAAAGAAGACAACTAACTTCCGGACACAAAAAACAGGAAAGT